TGGCCAGAATTCTACCACGGCAGCGGTCCTCATAGAGCTGTTTAATCTCAGTGAGACCGCAGCCGATGATCTTCTGGGCCATATTGACCATTCTCAATATGGTCAATATGGCTCAATTTGTGCATCTCCTTCTGTACAATCTTGCAATGTAGCCAGCTTGGAATTGGGTTGTTGTTACCAAAGAAAAAAAGAACATATGTGATTTTATCAGATGTCCGCATAATACAGTATGTGTAACAAAGCTGCGCAAAGAAACCCTAATGTCTTTGCTTTGATGCTGTGACCCTCTGAGGAAATCAAATTACAATCCAGTACACATTTAATTTTTAGGTTAACTTCTGTAATTTTCAGACAAAAAAAAATTGTGTTCAAGGAGAATTCCAAAGCTATAGTATTTTCGTATTTCGGGGTTTTGAAAGAATCAGCATTGATGAGTGCATTTCAAGCCACAATAATAGCAAAATGTACATAATAACTTGTAAAACCTCCAACTTACACCATAAAATAGATTAATTTTCCAGGTATGTGCAGTGCCATATTCTGCAATTCAGAACGAAGCAACAAAACTTCTGATGACGTGTGTGGCCTCATTACATTGTAAACAAGCAGGATTGTGAATACATTTCTTTTAATCCAATAGAAATATCACTTTCGATTTTGAGACGGTATTGCAGACAAATACTGCTTACTTGTTAACTTGTTAACTCTGCATGGAGATCACATTGGAATATTTCTGCAGCGAAATGTCTGCTGCACAACCTGTATTTATTCGCTCATACATCACAGTTCATTAGTCATTTTGGAGGCTAGTGAGCAGGAAGGGCCAAATAATGTCACAATTGGTGGGAATTCAAATGCGAGTTAGAGACAACATGGAACTTACAGGGCTTTCACAAAGTAATGACTTAGTGCTTTATTTGGAAACTATTTTCTTTCAATAACATCAATTAATTTAGTTACTGTTTAGTTTAGTTAACCGGTCTGAGAAATTAGGACTGCAGTTCCCCTTTAATATTTAATGATTTTTGGGCATCAATCATTTTAGATGAACAATAATACATTTAAAAGAGAGTGGTAATAACTGTTGGTACATAAGTGTTTGTAATCTACTAAATGTTCTTGATGGTTAGTAAACAAACAAGATGGATGTAAAAATGAGAGTGGCAGGGAGTGATTGTTCATTTATCAAGTTTCCCTGTGCTTACTAATAAAAACCCATCTAGTTGGTCAGTGTAACAGAACAGAACAAACAGAAATGAAGGGTGATTTTTCTAGCACACATGCAGTAGCAGTGAGGGAAACCTGGGTTATCATTATGGTAAGAGTCGAATGCCAGCAGGAAGGTATGTGCGAGCAGCACAGTTTGCATATAAAGTCTAACTGGCAAGATGAAACATGCATACCAAGCATCTCCAAAAGAGGGTATGCAAACAAAGAAACTGAGTAACTGATGATAACATCAAATTGCTCTGCCAAGAGAGTCCAGTTAAAACAGCACTCCCCTGGCTTTTCAAAAGACATTATTTATACAGCAGAAGCTAAAGATCAACCTGTTGCCACACTGCACCTCAGGAAACTTTGTTGTGAACAACTACTGCAGCCTGTGTGCTAACAAACAACACTAAGCCTCGAGGCATCAGTGAAAAGCAGAGACTCTCTGTGAAATTCAGAGTGGACTTTCTGGCTCTTCTGCTCATGGAGATGGCAGTGAATAGCCTAGCTCCAAACTATCAAAGGGAAATGCTGCAAGTCCAGCTCTTCAGGTCTTCTTCTTCAGACCTGGCTGAAAAGCAGGATCCACACTGTGGGCGGCAGTCACACCCTTCACTGTGGAGCTCACTGCTCAGATACACTAGACTGCAACTGTGGACAATTTAATATCATATACAGGATATTTTCAGTAAAGTTTTAAATGCAGAATTTAAAGAAATATTAACGATTGAGTAAAATGTTATCTGGGACAAAAACTGGAAAGATTTAGACAATGAATGGGAAACTGACAGCTGCTGTGCTAAATGTTCATCAAGGAAGATCTCAATAACATGCCTCAGGCAGTGAAAGGACAAAGCTCTTTATTAAATAGTATCAGCATAGAAGAGTTAGAGGTGTTTCAGGTACATGAAACACTCAAGTTCAATAAATCTTCTAGGCCCAATATTGTCTTATCAGTTGTACTTAGGTAAACAATGGAAGCAATTGTACTCAAGTAAACAACAGAAGTTATCAGAAGCTATTGATCTTCCAACAGAGACACAAGACAGCGGGAGATACAATCTCGTCCTCATTCATTAGGGGTGAAGGATGACAAAACTGAACCAAATAATTATAGACCAATAGCTGTGACCTTTTTAGCTGTAAAGTTAAGGAAATAAATAATAGAACAATACAATGTATATGGATCACATATGTTATATGTCCATCACTGGGGTTACCCTCCCATCTATCCAGGACATTTATGACAGACGGTGCTTGAGTAAAGCTCTAAGCATAATCAAAGACCCCACACACCCCAGCTACAGACTTTGTGATCTGCTACCATCTGGAAAACGGCACCGGATCATCGGGCCCGGACTACCAGACTCAGAGACAGTTTTTACCCCCGCACTATCAAACTGTTAAATTTCCAGCCACTCTCACTCTCACTCTCACCTCACCTCTCACCTTTGATCTGAACCTCACAGTGCCTTCTTCCTTTCTTTCTTTCTTACCAAAAACCCAAACACACATTGAAAATCTACCTCTACCATACATGTCAAAAGCTCACTCCCTAGAATTTCTATCCCTTTATTTTATTCTGTTGATGCATATTTTTGCACATAACCTGTTACCTTTTTGTTGTTTTGCACATTGCCTGTTGTTGTTTTTTGCACATCGTCTGTTGTTGTTTTTTGCACATTGCCTGTTGTTGTTTTTTGCACATTGCCTGTTGTTGTTTTTTTGCACATCGTCTGTTGTTGTTTTTTGCACACTGCCTGTTGTCTCTGTCTTTCTTTTGCTACACAATTGTATTGTTGTTGTTGTTTTTTCTCTTTGTACTACTTATGTCCGAGAGCTAGCTAAAAAGCATTTCGTTATACCATATACCATGTATATGAGTGTAATGACAATAAACTTGAAACTTGAACTTATATGGAAATATGGAATATTTCGATTTTCAGCAGGCATTTCATAAAGTTCCCAATAAAACATTCTCAAATTACAAGCAGTAGGCATATGGGGAAATGCTTGTGTTTAGGATTGGTTAATTAGAAAACAGAGTACAGAAGGGTGAATGCTTAAATGGGGCAGGAGTAATTAGAGAAGTACAAAAGAGATCTGCACTTGAACCACTGCTCTTCCTAATTCAGATTAATGAACTTGATTCTATTATAGTTAGAACTCTGGTCCAGTTTACAGATGATACCAATAGGGGAAGATTAGCAAACACTGTAGAAGCAGCAGAAGAAATTCAAAAAGTTTTTAATAAAATTCAATACATGGAACATGAAGATAACTCCCATGAAAGGAAAACCACAAGGTATTCCAGGGACAGAATTCCTGATAAACCTTCAGGTTCAAACCGAAAGAAATAAATTTATAGAATTAGGCACGTAGTGTCCACTCGAGGTACCCTAAATGCACTTTGGTTGCTGTACAGTTAAAGAACAATGTGAATGAAAACAATTTAAAAAAACATACCTATATTTATATATGCACTATTAACATTCTGTTGGCTACAACTGTGAAGTGAGTATTGCCATGAAATGTGGACCCACACAACTTTACTTTTCTAAGGAATCCCTGAGTGAGATTTCTATGACAGAATGCTCATCCCTGAACACAAACTCTAGCAATCAGGTACTTGGCTTGCCAATACAAATCTTTTGAAATAAATTACTTAGCCCATTATCTATGAAGGTAACAGGTTGGCTGAGGTTTTTATTCTGGGCTATAGACACCATTACTGTATTTGTAGTTCAGGGCTGGGGTTGGCGTTAAAATTGAAAATTTCCCAAAAATCTACAGTAATTGATAAATACGTTGTCTCTGCGAATAGACTGGCAAATGTGAAACTAAAAGAGAATGAAGTAGAGACTATCTAACCAGTTAAGAGTAAGGATTCTACAATGCGATCCATAACCCATGGTGAAGTCTCTTAGGAAAGTGAAAATGTGAGGTAACACCAGCAGCCTTTCACATGAGGATATATTAAGTAGTTAGCTATTAAACCACGGAGACAAATTAATCAATATATTCCCCACAGCAGTGATTCCAAACGCCACCTGTAGACGAGGACAGACAGGTGCTGGCTTTACAGCCTGCCTTTGCTGCAGCACTCAGAGGACTGAACGGGTCTGACTCTGAGGACCTCTGCAAAGCCCTCTCCAAACCAGCAGGTGATGTGCGCGGTGTCCAGGGTGAAGTGGAACAGCTGGTCCTGACAGCGTGTGCGGCGGTACACAGAGCGGGGGTCAGCAGACAGCACCCCCCTGATGGCGGCGGCGGCGTCCTCTGTGGACTGCAGAAACTGGAAGGAGGGCTTCCCTGGCACTAGACAACAACACAGAGAGATTCCAAGGTCACTGCCATTGGCTTCAAGGAATTACACTACCTCCCCATCCCTGTCTTTAAAACATCATCCTGTTTAACATCAGGACTGTTCTGAACATCTGAACATACTTCTGCATAATTGTTAGACTGTTTATAGATATTGGATCATACATATGAGAGACAATAGAGAAATGGTACGAAACAAGCATTATGTGTCAAACAGCCACCTTGCCTTTGTGGATCTGATGATTCTTTGTACAGTACTTATTACAGGGAGGTTCCCTGGATCAAGATCAGACTTTGCCACTGACTTGTTGTGTCACACTCTGAAAAAGTCACTTCACCTCCATGTGCTCCATTCTTTGAAAGGGAGGTAAATCTGGATTTGTCCTATAACTGTACAGAACACAAAAACTCATGATTCAGTACAGCGGCATCATCTATACCCTTTTGCCTTATGAAAATGTTGAAAAAACAGATTTCTAATAATGGAAGATCCAGTTTTGAGGCTTATCTTTTTATTTACAGGGGGTATATGCAATATCACTGTAGTGCATAATCACACTCATTAGCTATCTCGTTGATACTCAAAGAAACCTGAAAATCTGGTCTCCAAAAGGACTGAGTTCACTGGTTCATCACCCAGTCATCCTGGTGACTACCAGTCAGGATCACTGAAGTCTAGTTGAAAAAACTAAAAATTAATTGTTGTCAAACACCAGGTCTTTCAATTACTTCTACTGTATGCCCACATTATTTATTGTTTATAAACAATTACATTTTTAGGCAGCCAGTTGTACCTAATAGCTGGAATGGACTAAAATATCCAGTGCTGAATGATCTCTCACAAAAACATATACATGTGCTTACATATACTGAAATGCTGTGGTCGAACACTAGACTCCTTTCCCTAAGTATTTTATAACAAATGCCTTGAATGTATACCTGCTTGTCCTGGTGGTTGAAACTCCTTAAGATTCCTCTCAGCATGTGGAGTAAAGCGCACGTTGAGAGTGGACACAGGTGGCTCTCTGATCCAAGAGGCTATGGTGGTGTAGGAATCTGCGCCAAACTGTACCTCTTCACTGGACTGAAGCCGTTCATCCTCACAGGGTCTGACAGTAGAGCTGTTTGCCTGCAGGACATTTTCTTCTGTAGCCAAGGTGGTGAAAATATTTTTGTGACTGACATAGCTTTTAATTTCTGCTAAAACAGAAGGAATGTCTTTCTCCCTGGGAATCTGGCAAGGCCTGTTTGGTTTGGAGTCACCGAGAGCACCAGTGGAGGTCATCAAAAAAGCCTTTGATTTATCTTCAGAAAACATAACCTTTGAATGTGAGCTGGCATGTTGTCCTTCTTCCTGCAGGCCTCTGCCATCCTCCAAAGCCAACGGATTCCCAGACAAATCTTCAGTCTTTGTATTTTGCTGTTTTAGAGCATCAGTTTCCTCATCTGAAGATATGCATTCTGACATATGCTGTTCAGTGCTGGCTGAGCCTACAGTGTCCAGAGCTCTGGTGTGTGGTGCATCATAGTCTGGTATATAGGGTTTGATGTCCAGTACAGGGGTACCTTCGATCATATCAATTCCAGATAAATGCACTGTGTCGCCTGTATAGAAAAATAGGTCCTGTTTAAGTCTGCAGCATTTTCTCAATGCATTTTTTCCTGTGCTAACTTACATTTCTTTTAAGGAACAAGTAAAGGTTTATTTCATGCTGAAAAGAGAGGAAAAGAAATACAACATTTTGGCTGTGGAGCCTTCTTTGGGTGAAGGATTAAAGAAGACCTAAAGAAAGCTCCACAGCCAGGACGTTGTGTTTCTTCTTGTGTTTAGTTGAAGAAACAATGAAGACACAACGATACAATAAAGATACAATGAAGAAACACGTAATTTGTTCCTTTGCAAGCTATGCATACTGATACAGCTACCTTCTTGAACTACATTTCTTTTATTTGGCAACATAACTTATTATTGACTTAGGGAAAACACAGCAAGGCAACTGATTATATCTGCGTTAAATCTTCTCAACCCAAAACACAAAGAACAAGTGTCCTGATCCTAAAGGCTAAATTGTTTTGTTTAATGTTGGTGTTTGCTCTATACAACTGTCATTTAAAACAACAGCCATTAAAGAACACTATCATATATTCTATATAACAGATATGACTATACTAACTATTAGTGTTTTTATTTACCAAATTTTGGTAATGTTCCATCAGTGATGTAGGTATTAGTGTAATAATATTGAAGGTATGTCCTTTAATGTTGCAGCTTTATTTTAAACAAAATTCACTCCCGGTTTAATTTTGAGAAAGCACAAGCCTAAAATCATAGACAATGTTATTTTTTTACAGATTACAAAAAATAGATGTTGTAATATTTGTAAAGTTATTTTAGTATTAATATTTACCAATTGAAATTCAATAACCTTTTAGAACTGAAACATATGAATGTTTTGACACTTTTATACGATACTATTTCAGTAAAAGTTTATGCTCTGGTCCTGGACTACTGCTACATAACAAATTTAGAAAAAGGATTCATTCACCCATAAATTCTCACTCCTTGGGGAAAACCTTTGAGCAAACTAATTTAAGCCTCTATGTACCACGTACTCTTCTGAGACATTACCAGCAATCTTCTCCAGCCTTGCGAGAGTCAGCCCTATAGCATTGGGGCGATGCGGGCTCCGCGTGGAGAAAACCCCAGTCTTTAGGCCATTCAGTCTGGGAGGCTTCACCTTTGCCTTGTAGCTCTGGTGCCCATTTTTGTGGAAAATAAAAATAATCCTGTATGCGGGAGACATAATAGGATGCTAGGATCGTCCAAAATTCAGCTGTAGTAGAAACACTACCAGAAAAATGTAAGACTGAGGGCATTCAAGGCTTTACTAACTGAATACCAGTTCTTGGAATTAAACAGGGCCTAAACTGAGGTGTACATCCAAAAGTGCCAATCCTTGAGAACATATTGTTCTGACATACTGATTTGGTATTGGTTTTGATTTCTGTTGATATTCTAGGAAAAATAATGTTGGTTCAAAACAAAAAGCATCTGATTCATTTCTTGTTCAGAGCTTTTAGACACAAACATTACTATTACTTACTTGAGAATGTGCATAATTTTTGTTACATTCTGAAGAGCACATCAAAATGGAGGAAACAAAAAATTAATATGGATCAAAATTTATGCAATACCCGTCTTTCCTTTTTCTTACTTTGTCAACTGGAGGATCTGGAGCCTATCCCGACAAGCAACGACGGGTGCAAGGCAGGGTACACCCTGGACAGGACAACGGTGCACCGCAGGGTAGACAGACACAAACATGCAAACATGCATTCACATCCGGGCAAGTCTTCCCAGAAGCCAGTTAATCTACAGTGCCAATTTGTCTTTGGACTGTGGGAAGAAATGGGAGCACCCAGAGGAAACCCACTCAAACACTGGAAGAACATGCAATCTCCACACAGACAACACTCGAGGTCTGAAATTGAACCCAGGGCCCCAGCACTGTAAGGAAATGCTGTTAGCTGCTAGCTGTTAGCAAAACACTGCTAACAACTACGTCATAGTGCCACCCATTAATGCAACAGGGAAACGGAAATTCAGAATTTCAAAAGAATTTCAATATAATAATCCCTTTTAAATTTTAAAATGTCTTTAAATCTTATTTAAATATATGATGACTGAGAAAAAGGCTATAGTTCAGAATGAAAACATAGAGAGTATCTATTCATACAGCGGGGGCATTTACTGGATCAGTTATAAGCTGATTAACATGCTCAAGAGTACAACAGCACTATTCAATCCAGGATTTGAAACCCTAGCACTCCAGAGGCCTAACAAATATGTGAGCACCATATATTACACTGTGTATAATCATACTGGAGTTTCTTTGCTCAATAACAAAGACCTAGCTATAAAGGTAAAAGTCATCTTGTGCTCAAACTAAAATATTCTCTTAGATGAGTGCACATACTTTTTTCAGCTGTATAATACATTTTATTTTTACTGCAGACAGAAAACACGAGGACAGAAAAGGAAAAATAAATGAATGCTTCCCTAAAAATTAATATAAAATCCTATATTCCTTGCGTTGTGTGAATCAAGTAAATAAAATGTAGCCACTTTTCTTCCTTACCAAACATGGGAATACTGGTCCAAGCCTACCAGAGAATGCTCTGGATTGTTAAACACCGCCTTCTTGATACGCAAGGTTGCTCTAGATGAGGTGCAGATGGTAGGTTGCCTTGGGGTGCCAGTTTTTGTAGCAAAGCAAGACTCAATATACCCAATTGGAACAGTCTGAATAATTCCTAGGGGAAAAAAAAAAGAAACAAATATTTTTTCACTTTCAGTTCCATTTTTTAACCTCTTCCCATGGAAGGCCACTGTGTTTTTCAGCAGCTTTTCTGCACATTGAAAATACTGCACAGTTCCATCTGATCATCATTGATAGTCAAATCTTTAAGTCAAATTTTTGTGCTAATACATTTTTTAGTTGGATTTTTGTTCAGGTATTGTAAACCAATACAACAGAATGAGAGAAGAGCTTCCTCAACATCTTTTGACTTCCACCTCAACTTTTGACTGAATAGCTATGCATGTACTTTAACTAAGAGCAAATAATAAATAACTTAAAATTTAATGAAGTTACTAAAGGTATATCCAGGAGTAACTTCAGCAATACATTGGTTCCGTTCTCCAGATTGCTATGACCCTTAATAGGAATAATGGCTTTCTGGTGATGATCCCCATTTTTTATTAATATATCAGTCTATGGAGATCATCCCAGACAAACAGCCAATATGGAATGTGACAGAAGACAGAATGAAAAAATGGGATTATGTTATATTAATGTACATGTGTATATCAATTAAACAGATTCTTATAATTCAACACTTGTTGTAAATAAAACACAGTGATATTCTACTATTCCAAATTGATGTGTTCTGTAAATTGCTAACCATGATATTATTCAATGGGATTTTTACAAAGGGCTCACGGTTGTTCTCATCAGAAAACAACTGTTTCAATTTTCTTCATGAAGGTGAAATGGTTCTACTATTGAAAATATTACCACTAATGTTTCAGGTTCAAAGTTCTTTAGAACCTTTGTCTCTGCAAACTATTGCATTTAGAATTGAAGGTGGAGAACATAACAACATTGGTCTAACCTGTCAAGTCATCATCTCCAAAGGAGTACCATTAAAATAAGTACTAATACTTTAACAAGTTTCAATATGGGGCCCTTTCAGCTTCATGGTTCTGTACAAGCCAATCTATCTTGGCTAAAGGAAGACCTAAAAGTTATACTCTTTATAGGACAATCAGTTATTCAACAAGAACTGTCTGTGTTCTGTTGGTCTAAATCCATGGAAGACAGTTATTACACTCCAAGTACACAGACTATTTCTTGGGGAGGATTCTTTGTTAAGAAGAGTTTAAATGCAGAGTGACACATACAGTACCTTTCTCCAAAGACAGGACTGAAGGCTCTCTGTCTGACTGTGGTACAACCACCCGAGTCCTGTCCTCCTCGATGCTTGTCAGAACTGACTGGAGGGAGCTCAGGTTTTTCCTGTGTGAGCGAACTGCGCCATCAGTGAGCTGCCTGTAAGTGGAACAAAAATGAGGGCTCTTGCTAAACCAAAGATAGACGCTTTTCAAATGTCGCTGTCAATGTCCTGTGCATGCAACAAGGGATTAAAGACTCAAAGGGTTCATTTACCCTGTTACAGAAGGGCTATTTTGTGCATGTTAATATAAATCAAGAAACACTGTCAATCTGGACAATTATGGAACTTTTTTCTTCAATTAAGAAATTAAGAATCTTTTGAAGAAGGGAAAGTCCAGCCTTTCGGGGAATTACATTTTCCTTGAACTGTAAATACAACTTGTGTTAAAGAATAAAGAATGAAAAAATATATATACTAGTCAGACACCCAATATTATCTCCGTTATAGTGTATCATAACCTTCTTTCTAGCTTACGTAAATAAATCTTAACTAAAATTCCCTTTCAAAGTTGACCAAAATGATTCTGGCCCCTGGAGCAACGGAACTCTTAAACAGGATGGAATTGAAGTAGAACGGCCTCTTAACAGCGTTACTCCAGGTTTTCTAGTGTACGTCTGAGAAGCAACTACTGTATTTATTGTACTTTAAACTGTGATAATCGCAGTTTCGTTTCTGCATACATGTTTGAAGTAATGTTTCTGCGAGAAAGGGAAATGACTTGCAGAGTGCAGAATTAATGACTATTTACCAAAAATGAATCGGGCTACAATTAAAAAAATAGATATGTTTCTGATGTGTTACAAATAAAATTAGAATTCATTACGTCCTTGTGTTGAATGTGAGAAGTGCACCTCGTGGGAAATATATTTTAATACATTACCTCAGATTTTTTATTTCTTTCCTCATTACCGATATTTGCTGCTGGAGTTTTTGCACATGTTGTCCACAGTTGCACGACTCAGACATTCTAGACGTTTTATATTTTTCCTTTTCTTGTGCCTGCAAGTTACTTTACGTATTGTCAAATTGAAACCAATGTATTCCGTTCATGCACTGCAAGATATAACATGTTTACCAGAAGAGTGACACTATTTGCTGCTGGCCAACTAAAAACTTACCCTGTGTCGGCGAACGAAAAGACGTCGATTGCATGAAAATAAGAATTTGGGTCTATGAAAATATCAGAGCAACGTTATTATACGATTGATTAAGATCTCTGTGTGAATCGGGGTATTTATGATTATTGACTTGATTTTGCAAATGATTATTTAGCAAATATAATAAAAAACGTATGAATTTAACTGCAGGCGAAGTTCTAAACCAAATTATCTGCAGGACACCGTCGACTCCAATATTTCAAAATGCACAGCTGTTAGTGCCCTTTCAGAATAAAGCTTGGTAAGGTTAAAGTTGTTTAGCTGAAAGATAGTATTTATCTATTGGTGACCAACATTGTTAAAGCAGTCCTGTGCAGCTTATTATAATGATGATGATAATATTTTTCATCACCCAAAGTGCTTTACATTTATACATACTATGTAGGAGAGAACCTGCTTCCTCTAACACACAACAAGATATTTCATATTCCATCAAACCCAACACACAGATTTGTTGAAAGTAAGTTCGCGTTTATGTCAGTAGGAGGAAATTTATTGAGGCCAGACCATGCAAACCACGAGTGGAATTTAGTCAACACCCTGGGGTTAACACCTTTAGTAGACAACATGGCATGAATAAGATAGGATCACTTTATTGGCCATATACAATTTCTTGTATTAGGCATTTGTGTTTTCATTTACCCCAATGCTCTCCATGAGACACACAGACAGGGAGAGAAGCTTTGGGGTCAGAGCGCAGGGTCATCCATTTATACAGCACCCCTGGAGCAGTTGGGGTTAAGGGCCTTGCTCTGGGTGTCAACAGATTCCACTGTCGGCCATTGGATACAAACCGGCAACCATCCAGCCACAGGTGCAGATCCTTAGCCACAGAGAAACTGCTTTCTATTTGTAATGATACACAATATCACTCTCCAGCCATGGCTGTCATTAATTTTGATTAATTTAATCAATCGGTGTCTCTTTCAATTGGAATCAAAACCAAAGAACCTTAATATTTGGGAACGTATGTTCTCCTTTGACATATACAGTAATGTTGACAAACAATGGTGAGAACACATGAAAAGTGGCCTACAGGTTAGAAAGCTGTTTCATGGTTCGTGTGACCCATCACAAATATTCGTGCAGTGTGGGTCTTTAAAAGTCAGCAGGAGGACCTACACTTAGTGTCTGAAAAGAAGAGTGTTTAAAAAACATCAAATTAGGCAGTCCTTCTCTGTAACACCCTCCTTGTGTAGTGCACAGTTCCAGTGGCTTTTATATACAGTACCTCCTGTACTGTAACATACTAAAGGTGTCTATCAAAGCAGTAAGGATATGCTAACTTCAATTGTCACTGTTGTTCTCTTGCAAATTGTCTGTCTGAACCATGTGAAGATTGATTAAATATACCCAGCATTATACTAATAATGCATCTCAAAAAGCAGTACATATGACAGAATTGAGGGGGGGAGTTTCAGTTCCTATTAAGAAACTGTACAGCACTTAAATACATGTCTAGATGTCAAAAGTGTTAGAATTAAAGGAGAACTGAAACCAAAGAAGCAAACATACAGCATATCCCCGGCTTTTAAATTCAAATGAATCCCCTCTTTTCTGATCTCAATTTAAATGGAAAATAATATATAAATAAAGGAGGTAGCATTTCTCAAGCTTTCCAAAAATTAAAACAACATCATTTCTTCCAAATGCGCTGAAAACACTTTCCCTGAAACTGCAGGGGAGATCTGTGAGATCTAGTGGTCAACTGAATGGCTTTAAATATACTTCTACCAAAGAAAATGGTATCTTGTCAAAGCATATAGAGAATATGGTCCTGTTAAAGCAAAGAAGGAGTCAAGCCCTCCAAGATAAGTTAGCATTCACTTGTGTGCAGCCACAGCCGCAATGAGAAGTTCAGACTGCCGTGGACTATGTGGAACAGAGCTTATGTGGTAACAGTTAAGGTTGGTCACTTTGAGATCAGCCTGCTGACACCCCAGGTGGAGATAGTACAATAATAATCAGAGTTTTGTGAGAAACACTACATTTTATTGCAAATTCTTCTCAATAAAACAAGCAGTAACATTTGCTTATAGGTTCACCTTCATTGTTAACAGCAATTCAATTAGAAGCACAGCCCGTGATTAAAATGGATGTGTCTGACCTCAAGTGCTACCTGTAAGGTTTTTTCACACTACCAGCTCATATAGGGGTTTCCGGTGTGTAATCCTCTATATAACAATTAACAACATATTGTATTTAATTACTAGCTTATCCAGTTATTTTATCTCATTTTAGTGGAAAACTGGGTTTTCCCATAATAAGAAGAAATGTAATCAACGATGAATTAAACACCAAACAGACCAAACGTTGTGTTATACACAGTATTTTTTTTTCGTGGAAAATCCCCATATACTCCAAAATAAACACATGCCATGGTGCACTATAAAAAGGGGGGCATAATTCAATGAGTAAGGTGGATTACATTAGGTATCATATTAACTATTCAAAACATTGTATATTTGTATGTATTGTATGCCTGAATTCAAAGAGCAATTGGTAACATCAGTGTCTCATTTCTGCACAGCCTATGAATTTTATCACTGATCTGTATCACAGGAGGTTTTAAGGAAGAGGATCGGAATAGAGAGGAGACTCTTCAGAAGTACACTGTGGAGAAGTACTCATGTTCCAACGTGTGAAAGCTTGTCATAGGTGCTGCTTCTCCTCCGGAGTCTGTGAAAGAAAGTGAATATTAATAATTAATTGTTATTACACTGGCAGTCTTGTGCAAGCAATTTACAAAGATTTAAATGGTATTTTTTAGTCAGCATTTATTCAACTGCATGTGCTAGAGCAATTTGTGTGAAGTACCTGTCTCAGGAAGACAACTGGATCCCATTCTGGGAATTGAACCAAGTCCTAATCACTACTCAACATTCAGGTTATTTAACTCCATTAAAAATAATATTGGAAACAAAAAGATTTTGGGACATTGTTCTCCCTTGTCTAAGCTGTCATTACCCTGTTTTTCAGCAAGAAATCAACTCTTTTGTGAAATAGGCTTTATAATTGAATGCAACAAAGCAACAGTGTATACTTTTATTTTACACATTTTATTGATGTTTTTATTTATTTATACCCCTCAATTGAATGAACTGCATTCGTAAGAACATGAGAAAAGTTACCAAACCAAGCCAGTTTGGTAGTAGCTAATTGATCTCATCTCATCCCATCATTTCCTGAAAGAAGCCGAAAGCCAACTTGTTCCAGTCATAAACCATACAGTTTTTGGTCACTCTTAGTCAACATTCATTCAAATGTGTGTGCTAGAGCAATCTGTGTGAAGTACCTCTCTCAGGGAGAAACTGGGTCCCTTTCTGGGAACTGAACCTTCAATCCTTTATTTAGGAGTCCAACTCAAGATTGAGATTATATTTATATAGCAGGAGATTATGCCGTGTTAAAATTTACACTGCCTGATATGCCATAGCATAGTTTCATGCAGTGACTATGGTTTATCATACTTTTGTTATGATTTTCTGTTTATAACAAGCTATCACTAGCTTGAAAGCTGGACAAAGCTATTGCAAAGTTCTACTTTTCCACACCACTATGCAACATAGAAACATGGCTGTGGGGCATGAACAATCTTGCATTTAAGCAAGCATCGTCTCATGTTGAAGTTTTCAAAAATCCATCCCAACAGGATGCCAGGCCATTGCAGGGCACACACAGACACAAACAAGCACACACACACTACAGGGCCAGTTTTCCCAGAACTACCCAGTGCTGCGAGGTGACAATGCTAAGCCCGTGCCTCCTGTGTTTAAAAATCAATCCTTTAAAAAAATGAACCAAGAATAACAATTCAGAAATGAAAACATTGATGCGCAGTCTGCTTCACCTCAGAGGCTAAATAATACAGCATTGTAATTAGTTACTCATCAGTGTGTAATCTGAGTGTCTTTCTACCTGAAACAGTGGACAGGTCCTCCGCAGCTTTTGGCACGTCCTCTTTCTCGTCTGGCCCCAAGTCTTCGATCACCACTACTTCCTCCAGCTGGCTGCTCGGGAGCTCTGTCAATGTGCTGTCTGTCTGAGAGGGACCAGGGAGCATCTCCTCCTGTCCTTGGACCTGGTCTTGCCCGATGTGGACCTTGGCAGGCTGGTCTTGGACAGGAACACTGCTGGGGACTTCCTCTCCAGCTGTTCCCTCCCCTGTCAAAGGCGCTTCTTCGATGGGTTGGGTGTCCGGGTCGGCCTCCTTTCTCCTTGGTCGTCCTTTCCGGCTGGAAGTGCTCTTCTCCTCCTTCCTCTCCCTCTTCTTCCTACTCTTCTCTCTGCAGTCGGCGCGAAAGGGATCAGGAAGCAGGTCAGCGTGAACCTTAAGACTTTCATTGCTTAACGGCTAGGTTGTCAGAGCCAGATGAGTAAAAGAAATTGTACTTCTTGTTGGCTGAACGCTTAACGCTTGTAAAGGTTGTAAGATGTTCAATTTAGCAAGGGCAAATGTAGATATTAAAATAATAAATCAATCAAATTTTTAAAAAGCTGGCAGAAGAAAGTTTAACATTTTGATTGTTAAATGTGCTGTGTTTCTTCTCTTCCATACCCCTGACCCCTTCAATTTTAAATTGGTCTTTCCAGTTACACATTACCATCACATTATTGTCACTTTCAATCAGCACTTATCCAATTCACGGTCAAGAAAGCCTGGAGCCCTTCCCAGGAAGAATTGTGTGCAAGGCAGGATACAACTTGGGTGGGATTCCAGTCCTTCACAGGGCACACACAACTCATATTGGGGTCACTTTTCCCTGAAGCCAAATAACCCATCGGTATGTCTCTGCAATTTTGAAGGAAACTGGAGCGTTCAGAGGAAACCCACCCAGAAACAGGGAAAACATGCAAGCTCCACGCAGATAGCACCCCAGATATTGAACCCAGGGCCCCTACAAAGCATCAGTGCTAATCACTGCACCACCATGTTGCCCCCAATACATTAGCAATACAATGGTCAGTGGTCATCTAGTTATTCCACTGAATTTCGAGACAGTTTGACCTGAGGAAGGCGATCAGTACATGACATTAAGCATCTGAGTTTAAAAAGTAAAAAAGAAGTCAGTCTTTTTGGGTTTGATCATCCTTCTTTACACCAAAGGTTATTGGGATCTGGAGGAAGAAACCATATTGTTGAGAAGCCAATACAGATTCCTTTTAAAATTGCTGGGTGAGATCCTCTGATCATCAAATATTAGCAACCAAACAAGCAATAAGAGCCAGAGGCCCTACTCTCATTTGCTCTCATATTGACAAAATGAGTCAAATTTTGTTAGGAGCAGAAAATAGTGTTTACTTAGCCTCTCTTGATTTGATTATTTTTAAGTAGTGCTTGGAGGTGTATTTTGCAGTCAAATCTTTGTTTTTGAGAAAAAGAACTAGTTGTTTTGGAAGCTAAACCTTGATGTGGCTGATTTAACGTTTTTTTTATTTCAAGGCACATTGAATAAGCAAACATTATCATATTTGTAATATCTATAGAATTAATTATGTCTCATCATTATTGAAAAGTTAGAGGAAAGTGGAACTACAAAAAGTAGTCTACAATTTGAAGAAATAACACCTTTTAGGAGATGAAAAAATATGTATTTATTTTGTGCACAAGCCATATAAAATTTCCTTGATAAATAATTTGGTATCAACATTTTGATTCCCAACTTCAACTATAGGAACCGCTGAAGGTTCATGGATCTCAGTCATAAAGTTCTATTGTGGTGCACTACCCAAGGTAAACAGCAGATGGTGACATTTTGGTGTTTATCAACATGGTTTTCACTAAAAGTTATATGCAATGTTTTGGCTTTGGCTTTTTAATTTGTCACAATTTACCGATGAACCCACTGGTAAGTTTCCTTCTCCTGCGCCTCTGCCTTCCTCTTGCGGAGAAGATCTCTGTCTCTCAGCCGGCGACGTATCCCATCTGAAAAACAAGCCATTAAGGCCTACCATGACTACCATGACTTTCAGAAGAGACTGACCATTAACTGGACCTTTATAAAGCTGGAATAATGTTTGAGTTGTGAATTGAGCTACTTGTTATGTTTTTAAAATCTCAGTTATTTTGTGTATTCTACTGTATGTTTTAGTGACCACAGCGAGTCAGGACCTCCGTTTTACGTCTCATTCGAAGGACGGCAATTTTTTTACTGTATAGTGTCTTCATCTCTATACTGGGGCATTAAGACCCTCACAGACCACAGGGTGAGTACTTCCTAGTGGCCACACTAACACCTCTTCCAGTAACAACTTTGTCTTTCCCATCCAGATACTGGCCAGGCTCACACCTGCTTAGTTTCAGTGGTTACTAGTTGTGAGTTGCAGGGTGATATAGCTGCTGTACCCTGATGTCCTAGCCAAATTTCCCATTGGCCTTTACCAATTATGACCTCTTGGATTTATTCATCTGTTCTGCTCCCCACTGATAGCTGGTGTGTGGTGAGAGTACTGACACACTATGGCTGCCGTCGCATCATCCAGGTGGGGGCTACACATTGGTGGTGGTGGAAGGGAGTCCCCATTACCTGTAAAGCGCTTTGAGTGGAGTGTCCAGAAAAGTGCTATATAAGTGTAAGCAATTATTATTTAACTCTGAATTGTTGATCATCCTTACATATTTTTTTGTCTTCAAGTATTTCTAGGTTTTCTCTAAAACAAGCATGCTTATTTTCCCTCTCATTGCCTTGTTTTAAGTTAAACTTGTGTCCAATTACATCGCTTTCTGAACTCTTACACTGCAGTTAACACCCCGACTCTTTAGAACTCACAATGTTAACAATGCTAACCATGCTCCACCGAGCTCCCATAATTAACAGTCATGAAGTTTTTAAAAAATGTTCAATAACCAGAAAAACGTTTGTGCTGAATATTCCCCTACATATCTCTCTTGACCTGAAAGAGTCAAAATGACCAATGTGAATAAAAGGAGAGAGACACCAAACAAAAAAACTACTGTGCATGTGTTAAAATGCCATAACAAATCTCAAAGACTTTAAGATTGCTTAGTTACTACTACTTCAACTGGTACTACTACTACTACTACTAATAGTAATAATAATTTCTTGCATGTATATAAACTTTTATCCTAAAAGGCCACAGAGTGTTTCCAGAAATGAAGTTCTGCCTGCACCTAGGTTGCAGGTACCTGCCATTTTATGCCATTACTCAGTATGCCACCAGTCCTACTACACATAAGATCAGATAGAGAACTGAGTAACTACTGCTTCGGTTAAATTAAAGGGGCATTGTATCGGAAGACTAAATTGCACAATTGGGAGACCAGAGTGGAATTTAGTTCAGGTGGGTAGCTGCGTCAGTATGCGTAGGCTGCAAAGGAACAAGTAATAGGTTTATTCCATGCTGAAAAAAAGAAGAAAGAGAGCACAACGTTTCGGCCATGGAGCCTTCTTCAGGTGTGAGGTGGAATTTAGCCTAGATACTGGGATTCACACGCCTTTCTTTTGAAAAGTCCCATGGGATATTTTAATGACCAAGTAGTAAGGAACTGGGTTTAACATCCCATCCCCAGGATAGCATCTCCTATAGTGCAATGTTCCTTAGTCACTATCTTGGGACATCAGTTTAGAAATTCAAATCCGGAGAAAACCTACTGACATCCTAATGGTCAACCAATACTACCTTCAAACCTGCCTGTTTAGTGGTCTGGACACATTGCACACATTGTCCAGAATCCACAAGTATTCAGTGTAGCTCAAGCCTGGTAGATAGGGCATCCATAAAATAACTGTCACGTTCTCCTCTAACAGAAAACAATTATAATTCCTTACACTTATATGCTGTAGCACTTTTCTGGACACTCCGCTTAGAGCACACCCCTCCACCACCACCACCAATGTGTAGCCCCTACCTGGATGATGCAATGGCAGCCATAGTGCACCAGTACACGCCCCACACACCAGCTGTCAGTGGGGAGGAGAACAGAGTCAGAGCCAATTCATAGATGGGGATTATTAGAAGGGCAATGGGAAATTTGGCTAGAATGGCAGGGTAACACCCCTATTTTTTTCAAGAATCGTCTTGGAATTTCTAATGGCCACAGAGAGTCAGAACATTGTTTTTAAGTAGCATCTGAAGGACGGCGCTGTATATGAGTATATATATATACTCACTGTATATGAGTAGCATGACAGCATTTTGTGTCCTGTGGGAATGTTGTCATATGAGGATAAGCCCACAGGAAGGGCAGTTTAGTGAGTTACTGCTTAAACCATCACACTTTCTGTGTTTATGTTTCTGGTGTTTTCTTAATGTCTTTGTATTCTTTGTATTGGAGCATACATACAAATACACATTTCATTGCATTTGTGCATATGACAATAAACTGAACTGAACTGAACTTGGATTTTCCCATTACTAGTTTTGTTGTAAACAGCAACAATTAGCGTATCATTCTGCACTAGACTCTGTGACATCGATCAATCTACGCAAAACTTTTATGCATCAAAGTCACTTAAGCGTATCATAGTCAATCACAAAAGATCAATTTATCAATATACAGCAAAAACAATCATCAATAATCACATTCCAGATACTTCATTTTTACAGTTTTCACATTATGTTGCTTTAAAGCTTGCTGTGACACCTGAGTTTTTGAATGATACTTTGAATTTGCAATGAGTATTTGTTGTATACACAAACTACTCCACACAAAGTAAAACAGAAAAAGAACTACACAGATGATTAACGTGACAAAATGCTAAAGTAATGATTATAAAGGTATTTCATGATTTAAGAATCAAAAACAACTTTCTGCATATGGTCCTTCAGTCAGGTAGGCAAATGTCAGCAAAGATTTGATCATGAAGACTAAGGACCATTAAAAACAACTAAGAGATAAAGTTGGAGAAAAGCACAGACCCTGAGAAGGTTATAAGAAAACTAAATTCTAAAAAAGACACATAATATTCTTTTGGGCACAGTGAAGTGGATCATTAGGGAGTTGAAGGTTTATCATACTGTCCAGACTGTCTACATCAGGCTGTCCCTCCAAACTGAGCAGCTGGGTGAGAGCAATGGCGACTTTGAAAAAGCTTCAGATTTCAATTGCTGAGATGGGAGAAAATGTCCACAAGTCAAAGCTGACATGCAGTAAGAAGAAAGACGTTACTAAAATCACATCTCAAATCCTGCATAGATGTTGTAACAATGTATTTATGTAATACTCCAAACATTCTGCAAAATTAGTTTTGTAGTCAGGCAACAAAACTGGAACGTTTTGGAGTAAATGCAAAATGTTACATCTTAGTGACAAGAACACAGTGTATCATCCCTACTGTCAAGAATAGTGTTGACAATATTATGTTATGATGTTATGGGGCTGCTTGCCATGTGAGAAGCTTGATGGGACTGAGGGAAAATGTATGGCATAGGCAAATATAACGAGAAAACCTGTTTCATTCTGTTGAAGAACCTAGAGTGAAAATTAACCTTCAATCGCATTCAAATCATAAGGCCCAAGCTACACTGTAGTGGTTTAATGAATAAGGAAGTCAATGTCCTTGAGTGGCCTAGTCAAAGTAATGACTTGAATCCTTTTGTGAATCTGTGAAAAGACTTGAAAACTGCTGTTCATACATAATACCCAAGAAACTTCAAAGAGAGCATGAACAAATTAGTCAAGGAAAATATGGGAAAATATTGCATTATTCCAAAGAACAAAATGCGTAGAGACTTAAGATACATCCAGCAAATATTGAATTCGCAGGTCTGATTACTTTTTACCGTCAACATATTTATTTTTTTCTTTTTAGTTTTAGATGACATTTACTGTATCCCTAGAAGTGTCCAGTCTGAGCTTTCAGGTTCTGAATTAAAAATGTGTGCGCTAAGTTTGTTGCAAGGTATAATAGACACACAATATATACTGTTATTTCTGCAGTGACAGTCTGCAGATTTATTTCTGGATTGTATGGTGATGTGGCTATTGCATAATGGCTGCCACATGTCATTTCAATTTTTGGATGAAGAGAAATACCCCCGTTATGAATGAAATGCAATCTATTCTATTTATTTATTGTATTCATCTAATCTATTTAAGGAATTTTTTAAATCTTTAATAAACTAAAATGCATTTCCAATAGATTTAGTTTAATCTATTTAACTGCACAGGCTGACTAATATTAACTTAAACTCTTTGACGCACCTAATTAACCAATAAATTAAGATGAAATATGTTACTATAGTGTACTGATCTGAATATGTGTAGTAATATATTAAAGACTGTATAATGAAAATATTTTTCTCTTCAGCAGTCAATACCTTGCATGACAACATTCTTCACACAAGAGCATCTAATCGGGTATGAAATTATCCCTATATGCAGAACTAAAGTGATTTTCTGCTTTTGAATTAAGTTAACTTTTAGATGTACAGTAAATAACTATGTATTTATATTTTAATAAAAGGGCTGTTTCTTGTCTTAATTGTAAAATTGTGAATGAAGTCCATGTTATGGATTCAATTACAACAAATAAAGCTGTGATGCTCGATACTGTTTTACATAAACATTTACATACCAGTATGTAGTATGTACATAGTATGTAGGATGCCAGGCTGTCATTTTTCATCTCACATTGTTACTCTGCATTGCTAAAATTACATTGCTGACATAATTTATTATTGTTTGGTTTACAAGCACATTTGATTTCTGCTTTCTATAAAAATCAAATCCACTTGATAATCCTGTCTATTTCACATTACTGCACATTTCATTTAAAAAAATGAAGATAATTTTCTGGATAAAATTATTTGCACTGTTTGTAAACAACATGGAAAAAAACAGAAAAAAACAGAATCCAGTTTCTGTTTACCTACACAAAATTGTTTTGCACCCCAATAATAGATTCTTAGTTTAAACAGGATACTGTATTAGTTTTCTTTTATGAGCAAGAGGTAAGTAAATTGACTTTTTTTAATACAAAGATGATGTAGATGGTGCTGTTCATATTACTCATTTGCTACACTTAGTCATATTTACATACTGTAGATGAATGTCCAGAGATGTGTTATTGTGTTTCAAATGAGATGATTTTCACTGTCTGTTCAGTGTTATTTCAATGGTTTTACAAGCAGCTCTGTTTCTCAAAATATCATTAAAATACCTAACTTTTTGTCATGGTGATGGATATACATGGCAGCATACATTTTATGCTACAATAAAAAATAAAGGAACTGATGACTGATGTACTATGTGACAGCATAAGTGTCATAATGATGTAGAAATTCCACTAAATATCACATATGCCTTAAAACCCAGTATTGATTCAGTAATATACATGGACACAGCTAGTCGAAATCAGGATAAATGAATATATACTTTTCATATTAAACTTTAGAAATTTCTAAATAAAATACAATATGTCTCTAATGATCACAATGATTATTAATGATTGTGACTGCAATTCTCATTGTAAAACTAGGTCTGCATCCTGAATATAAGGAAATCCTCTCCATATTAAGTAGCTCAATAGCACCCTATTCAGTATGCTTTATTCTATGTTATTTAGAAATGTATAAAATGCACACAGAACAGTATCATATTGGTTAAGATTGTTAATCTAATTTGTGTTGTTCAGCCATTTAACAAATTAAAATACAAAACAAAAACAAAAATGTCTCTGAATTGTAGGTCATTGTCTAGTGTACTTGTCCTCCCCCTAACTCGGTGACTACAACAGTATTAGCCTTGCATTTGTCTATCCCCTCATTGCCAAGACTACATTTCTTGTTAGTACAGGAAATACCTTCGTTGTCATTTGTGTCCTTTTTTTCTGAGCGTGGATAGTTCTCACCTCGATCCTCCATGTTGCTTCCCCCCCAGAAAAAAAGAGAAACTTCACTTTGGGTGAGGAGAGGAAAAAGCAAGTCGTGATCAGTCACTTTTGGCTTCAGATCTGTCAGTTTGCAACTCCCGCCCAAAAAAAAGGGGGTTATCAGGCTTAAACATTAACAGGGTATGTGGAGAGCACTGGCACATTTTCCCTTATCATATTTGCAAAGGCGGAGGTCTTGGCATCAGTCAAAAAAAAGGCCCATAGTCTTTCTATCGCCTCTGAAGTAATGCACACTACACTCTTCTGCCTTGCTGCTACCACAGCACTTGGGCAGTAGCTACAGGCTCAGCCTGAAGCCAGGGACATGAAACTTTGCTAAGGTGTCTGTTTGTGCTGTTCAAGTTCCAGCTCCATACACAAGATAACTACGAAGATGCAGCACATTTTGTTCTGTTGCCTCGCTGTATTTCTGCTGGGATGGATTTGTGCTAAAGGGCACAATGCTGTTTGCTCTGTATGTGCGACTTTCAATTGTGTCAATTTAATTCGGTCAGTGCTCCCCAGCGGTAAAAGTAAGAATGCTTATGTTGGGCCAAAACACTCTTACAAAAACAAAAAAATAGCTAAACTTGGCTCAGTTACCTTTGATGTCCAGTTTGTTTCATGAATACCACCTTTGTTGACAGTTGTTTTTAAAAATGAGTACGAGCTTTGTCTGTTGGCCACAGACATACATCCTTACCTTCGATGCATTTTATATAAAGTCTCATGGCTATGGGGGCAACACAACAAAGAGCGGAGAATCAACTGAGAAGAGGTGGGAAGTGACGAAATGTTGTGTGGAAGGAGCAGAAGGAACTTCTTCACAGAGGCACCAACAGAGCAGCCGAGCTAGTCCGAACTCTGAGCACATCCCAGTGGCCCACTCACCTACAGATGTGTAAACTACTTAATCATAATATTTAGCTTCTTGTACTAAGTTCCCTGGACCCTGGGGTTACACGGGTGATGAGCTGTGTATGGTTTGCACCAGGCACAGTGCTTTGCATTCAGGCGAGGGGTTCAATTTTCGTTTAATCAGACCAGAAGATCTTTCGTCTCAGGGCCTGCCATATGCCTTTTTGCAGATTCCAGTCATGCTATTATGCGGCCTTTGGCTCACACTCCCATAGAGTCTAAATCTGTGTAGTGCTGAATAGATTGTCGTACTCTGAGCAGGTTCTCCCATCAGTACCATCTAATTCTGACAAGGTGGTCATTGTGTTCTTGGTCATTTCTCTGACTAAGGTCCTTTTTGCCCAATTGCACAGTTTGGGTAGACAGTCTGCTTTAGGAAGAGTCTGGGAGGGTCTCTATTTTTTCCTTTTCCCTAATAATGAAAGATCTGAATGTGCTCCAGGGAACTTCCAACATCTTAGATATGTTTTCATACTTAACCCTGCCTCTATGCTTCCTCATAGTTGTATCCAGGAGTTGTACAGACAGTTCCTTGGTCCTCATAATAGAGTTTTCTGCTCTGACATGCACTGTCAACTGAGGTACTTTATACAGAAAGGTTAATTTCTTCAGAAATCATGCCAACAATTTAATTGACCACAGGAGGACTGTGAGTGAATAGTTATCAAATCAATTACATTACATTTAAAAACAATTCAGAACATTTGTTCCACTTTGACATTATGGAGGCATTTACATAGAACAGTTTTGTCAAGGAAATGTTTTTCTTTTTGAGTTTTGCAACCAAACAAATTGTGAAAAATCCAAGGGGATATTCAGGGGGGTAAATACTTTTTGAAGGCACTGTAGGACCTCACCGTGAGTACCTACAGCTGTTTTTGGAAACCTTGGGATTTGGAGGATGTGGCCAAATAGCATTCCATTCTTAAGGAGCTCTTAATGACTTGAGGTTAACCAAACCAATAATTGACATTTTGGAGTTCTGGTATGATTTCTATTACTAAATATCTTTACTAAATTTACTAAATTAAACTAAATATCTCTTTGACAGCCCTTTTTCATCCATGTCCACTGCGTAAAAACCGTGCTGCTACTTGGAGACACGATTCTAACAAAAAGTGCTTCTCCATATTTGACTTTCAAACTGTGCTTGTAAAGCATGAGAATTTATAATAATAATTGCTTACACTTCTGGACACTCCACTCAAAGCACTTTACAGGTAATGGGGACTCCCCTCCACCACCACCAATGTGCAGCCCCACCTGGATGATGCGACGGCAGCCATAGTGCGCCAGAACACTCACCACACATCAGCTATCAGTGGGGAGGAGAGCAGAGTAATGAAGCCAATTCACAGATGGAGATTATTAGGAGACCATGATTGGTAAGGGCCAATGGGATATTTAGCCAGGATGCCAGTGTTACACCCCTTTTCTTTTCAAGAAATGCCCTGGGATTTTTAATGACCACAGAGAGTTAGGATCTCGCTTTTTCTTCTCATCGGAAGGACGGCACCTTTTTACAGTATAGTGTCCCCGGGTGATATGTCTGCTGGCAACCAAATGGATGAATGAATGAAACCAGGTTTTCTGTACACTTGTTTCAGCTAAAATTACCACTGCTGGCTGTATCTATTAACAGACAGCAGGTCTGTTAAGAGATTGAGCGAATCAGCAGTGCAGCAATTTTGTTTAATTGATTTTGTTGTCTTGTAACCAGTAGATGGCAGGTGCAGTTATGTTTAAAAAAAGGATGATTTTTAAAACAAGGTATTTTCTATTTTTTCATTTTAACTTTGTTTTCAAAAAACAGAGATTGTATCTTCCCACAAACTTATCCCTTTTCCAGCACGTGATCAATCAGCTCTTCAGTATCTTTGATCATTGGCAAAGAGCAAAGTAATCAAACCATTAGATAAGAATGGCTTTTCAAAACAATGTATTGAATTGCAGTTTTGCAATATCAATTAGATTTACCTTAAACTCTTTTGGAATTAGGGCTTACAGAATCAGTACAGCTGTTGTACAATCAAAATACTGACAAGTCATTTATAATATGTTTCTGAAACATTGAAAAACAACCAAAATGTTTGTAAGCAGCTGCTTTTTATCAAAGCTAGCCAAATCTTTCTTTAAATCACCAAATAACCTTAGTGCTGGCATGTATGTAAGTTATTTCAGAGGCAGAGTGGTCCAGCCATTAAAGTGAAGAGCCTGTCATCAGGAAATGTCTGGGTCAGGCATTGAATCTTCCACTTAGACACTGTGTGTTACCTATTCAAAGTAATTAACTTCCTTCTGCCTTGCCCTTTGGGTACGCCATAAAATTGAGAACTGATTCTGACTCTATTTATTAGGATTATTCATGAGTCTCTGAGCTACAAACCTTGTCAAACATCGAGCATGATTAACATCTATGTGGTGTCTTCAGTGTCAATTTTGTAGCTGTCAGATTAGCTCCTGAGAGTGTCTTTTAGCCAGAACAGCTTCCCCAGTCATCACAGTGGGGAAATTGAAAGTGCTCTAGGTGCATTGCCCCCTTATCTGTTGAAGAAGGGAGCTCAGCTGGCATGGGTGTGTTCTCCATCTTGACCCAGCACATTGAGAAACTTTCCCTGACCAAAAGCAAAAGAGCGCAGCCCAACAGAAATAACATCTTCCCTCCCCTTATCTCTCCTTATCAGAGGGGCTCTGTCGTGCTTCATCGCCACACTGAGTGACAATGCGGTATTACTTGTAGATGTCTGCATGCACTTTTGATGCTGCAGCATGTTTTGGTGCCGCACTTTAAAGGCCTTGATTCTCCTGATAATTGTTAAAGTTTTTACATGCGTTGGGTTTAAAAAAAATGTCCCTCCCTTGCTTCCTGGCGTAGGTTTTTACTGTGTTTCAGATACAATGCACCTATTTTAATAATTCACCGAAAAAGACCTGAGAGAACGGTGCATTGGTTAAATTAACACAGTCAAATTAAATAATTCAGGGGGTAAGAAGGCAGAATGAGAAAGCTCTTACTGTCTTAAAGGCTTCAGTTAAAGCTGTTATGAAAGGAGGGAAACGTTTTTTTCTTACTGTATGTGTCGCCTGTGAAACGTGTCTACACGAGTACAACGTTCATCTACGCTAAAACGATGATAGCGCCCTCTTGTGGTAAAACTAATTCACTGAAATTGCCTAAACCTGAAATTGAACTAGATGTGTTACTGATCTCCAGGTTGACTACCGGATCTTCAGAATTTCATTCCAGCTCAAACTCTTAAATATAGCCGGAATATCTTGATAAAAAACAGAAAATATATTTTAGTATATTTGCTATGCAGGGGATTCCGTGGTTATTGACTCAATTATATATAATTAGATATAGAGCCAGCAGTCATATCACAATTGGCAACCCCCTGATGCTAGGCAGGCGTGTACCTGGTCAGTAACTGGATGGGCTCCTGGAAAAGCTAAGGTTTCTGGTGGAAGAGGTGTTAGTGGGATCAGTAGGGGGCGCTTGTCCTGTAGTTTGTGTGGGTCCTAATGTCCCATTATAGTAAAGGAGAGACGTACTGTACTGTGTACTGTGATTAAGGAACCATCTTTCAGATGATATGTAAAACTGACTCTCCATGGTCATTGAAAATCTTATTTAATGATATTTAGTCACTATACGCTATGTACTTCACTGAATCATAGTATTTTGCTTTGCGAAATGTCACCTGTTTCCTATCTCAATAATGCTGTACTTGAAAGAGGCTAAAAGCCAGTATAATGGCTCGTTCATAAATTCTACACATGATGGAACAACATGCATAATCCTTTACTGCCTTTTGTATAAATTGGGACATGATGGGCTTGGCAGTTATTTCTAACAAATCATAACGAGACTGACTTTCTGCTGAAGGCGAACAGCAGAACTCCAGTTTGACGGGAGTGAGATGAACATGATGGAAGACACAATTAAGGCCTTGTGAGCTGACAAAGACTTTCTGCCAATGCAGCAAAATAACAGTGATCCTGGTCTGCTCAGGTTAAATGTTATTTTGCCGCATGATTTATATGCATGTTGGTTTGTTGTGCTGTGTGTTGTGTTGTGTGTTTTCTAGCCGTAATACCAGCATGTAAAATGCTAGTGTTGTCTTACTATCTCAATTATTGTGCCATTATCATTCAAGCATGAGTTACATTGTCAATATAATTTTGCAACATATTCCCACCACTACCTGGAAACTAACAACAAGACAGATGAAAGGGTCTTAGTCAAGAAATATCCTTATTCTGATGGTGTGGAAAAGAGCATAAAAAACTAAATAAAGGGAAAATGTTTGTG